CCACCGAACAAGTGAATCAATAAGGAGTCTGAAAGGCTGACGCGACCACCACGTCCCTCTGCTGGGGCTCACGTTACGATCTTAATGAATGGGCTGTTGTTGTGGTTGTGAAGTGCAGCGTCACAGCGACCTTCCATCAAACCACACTCTTCCCGGAGTTTAGGACACCACAGGAGACGTGGACCAACATGCAGACACATTTCTTTGGTCTGACCCTGATCAGCATAAATCAAAATAAACCGCAGTATATTTCCCTTCATTGATATAGCAATTGATCAATTTCAATTCAATCCCAAAAATGCACAATATTTATTTTAATGTCCTATCCATGGTTTTATTGTTATGCAAACAAACATTTATATTTACTCTTGATGTTCACCAAGACATGCACTAAAAGTCCTCTAACAGTGCTAGTTTGAAAAACTGCAATTGCTTCCCTTTAATATTATTTCTCAATCAGAATAATTTCACAAATATTGTCCTGAATGAGAATTTTCCCATCTTTCTTCCTGTGTTGCTAGCTGCTGTGTCGTCTTCTTCTATATGGTTGCATGATTTTGGCAAAACATATAATTGCAGAAGTTCGGACCAACATTGCAATTGTCGTGTGATCAATTTCCTGTTTGTATGTAAAAATAACAGTGTCAAGAGAGTTACATTTGAAATTGTACAAAGGAATCAATTACCTCATACACAATAGTTGTATAATAGGAATGTTAATAATGAAAAATTGCAGTCTTTGATATTGTTGTTGGTTGCAATGGAAATATCTCAATTTCAATTTAATTTGCGATTGATCCTGCAGAGGCAGCCCTATGAAAAATAGATTGTTTTGGGCATTTAGCTGCTAAGAAATACTTGTTGATCTATCTTCATTTCCGCTACTTGAGTGTGAAAAATATGGGTATGAGAAATGTTGTGAAACCTTTGCTTAAGGCTTACTGTATATAGTATTGTGAAATTAAATATATCTGCAGGATTCAAATCAGATAAGATATAGACCTTTATTCGTCCCACAGTGGGGAAATTTCATGTCATCGTTGCACACATTACAGCAGAATAAAAAGGAGGAAATAAGAGCACTCAGATTGCACACATCAAACAGGATCTGCTATTTAAAATAATAATAAATAATAAAATTAAATACAATTCTAATAAGATAATAAAGTAAAAAACAAAAAGTTTGAGTACGTTTTATAGTTTTGTGTTTCTTAATTTTTCCAGTATGATTCTTATGAAGTGTTGACAATGAAGAACGGTCCTGGCAGTGAGCGTGTTTGTCCTCAGGCTCGTCTAACTGTAATTGGTTGTAATAATATTCCCATTTGAGGCGCTTACAACGTAATTACATAATGAATTACGAGGTTTTAGTTAACAACAGTTGAGGTGTAAAGTTTCCGACAAGAGCAGAGACTGATGAGAAAAAGCCAGTTCCAGCTGTCAGTCCCAGTGCAGCAGACTACATTTGATTTGACGTGTCGGGTCATCACACACAATGTCATGATCCTTTTTGCTCACAGATGTATGATGTGTGAACCACCTCTCAAATGCATGGATTATAATCTGGATATCTTCATTTTGACAAACCTGATTTTCTGGAATGCAGATATGGGGTGGTGTTGCTCAGGGACGTTGCTCAATAAATGTATGACCGGACATTTTTCATCCGTAGTCCCTATTCAGTCACAGCAGTTTTACAGTGTGCAAAGAATCAATTCAATTCCATTTTTGTATTTGCCCTAAATCACAAACTCAGAGGACTTTACAAAGCTGTTGATTCGCCAACACAGATCAGAGAATCTAACAGTTGAAACACGTAGAGCCTTAAGGGGCAGATGACCAATGTCCATAAATGTTGGTGAAGTCCATAAATGTCACGAATGAACATTTGAAATTCAGGTGCAACGTAGCACCCTTATCCACAAAGAGACACAATATTTGCAACATATACAACACAATTATGTATGATCTCCTCAATGATTATCTTTGAGCCATGTCTTGGGGCTGAATTTAACTGGCCCAGTGGTACAAGTATTTGTGTTAATATAGGCATGTATATTTCTTGGTAGGAAAATTAGTCTTCGTTCAGTACTTGTGCAGCTGTCATGTTCTAACAAGGGACTCTGGGGGAAATAGAACATTATGCAGTATTCAACGACAAGGGTTTACGAATGAGTGTGAAGGAAAATAGTTTGAACAGACTTTGTTGTTTTCAGAGGAATCGACCCTCTATATCACTCTAACCAAAGTACATCTAAAGTTAGCATTGACCATTAACCACCGTTAACCATTCAACTTTCTTATAGTCAGACCTGTGTTGTGCAAAAATTATCTAAATTATAAAAAAAAGAAAATAATGTTCCTGCCCTATATCAAGACACAAATACTTACTCGTTTACATTTTCCCAAATTCAACTGATATTTTTCTTATCTTTAGTCCCTTCTTAAAGGAATTCTTCAGTCTTTGTGACTTTGCCAAATGCAATTAATCATACAGTGGCAGTGCTATGAGCAATGTCTTTGTTAGGATATGCTTGAAGATCTGTTATTGTGAGTGTTAAACATATCACACAATATGAAGGTTATATATTTATTGATTTGAATGGGATGGTGAATATCAAAACCGAAATCCACTTAGCACAAGACTTTTTGACATCTGAATGAAAACCAGGTGCCGCTAACGGGGCTGCTGCGGTTCAGAGGTGCACACTGCAGACCAGCCCAGAATAACTGCAGTCTTTACAGGAACAGTGCTTTTGGCAGTAAGTCAATTGCTTGTATTAAAATATCTGCAGAGCTCTGGCGGGTCATTGATAGCTGTAAATGAGTGCATATGGAGGCAGGGCCCTGGGCGTTTGTTTTGATCAGGTCTAATGGATTTCTCTGGTCCTCTGACAGGCTCCAGGAGTGCAAGGCTGGAGCGGTCATCTGAACCCTGCGGTCGGACGATTGAGACGAGTGGGACTGAGTCAGGAAGTCTGGCGACGGTAAGCTCCACCCGACAGCATCGCTGCACATGCCAAACGCACCTTCAAAACATTCTGTTGCAGAGTCCACCTGCTGTTTCCTGTGATACAAGTTATATGGATTTTTATATGGTTTTTAGTGGATTGTAGTTTCATTTTTGAGGTTTGAAGTTAGGTATCCCAGCTTTATTATAATGCATTCTTGCAGCAGCCAGTTTTAAAGTAAAATTGCAAACATCTGCCATTGACAGTTTTCTCAAAACTTCCATGAAACCATACGGGGTGAAATAAAAGACAGTGGGGAGAATAATTTGAAAATGTATCCAGTTACAAACATTGAAAACCCACATAAACATGTAATCCAATGAGAAATCTGTGTATGTGGAATACTTTTACTTATTCGACCAGAGGGTCGTGGGTTCGAGCCCGACTTTCACTTTTGTTGTGTCCTTGGCAAGACACTTAACCTCTGGGAACACCTGATGCCACAGTGGGGCGGCTACGGCTGTAAAGTGCCAAACTACTGTTGTGTGATTAGGCAAGACACTTTACCCCCATTGCCTAGAATGAGTCTGGTGTGTGTGTAAATGGTTGGTGGTGGTCGGAGGGGCCGATGGCATATACTGGTTGCTTCGCTTCTGTCAGTGTGCCCCAGGGCAGCTGTGGCTACAGTAGTAGTTTGTCACCACCGTGTATTATGGAGTGAAAGAATAATGACATGTGACGCGTATTTGAGTGTCCAAAAAAGCGCTATATAAAACCTATGCATTATCATTATTTTTATTATATACTGTAGTGTAAAAACACACAAATTATTTATTATTATTATTATTATCCACCTTCTATCATTGTTATTCAGAAAAGACTTGAATACATTTGCAAACATTAAAAGTCATGTAACGTTTTCACTAATTGTTAAATCCTGCCCTAAATTGCATTTCTGACATTTTCAACAACGCAAAACACCCACTCAATTGCATGTATTATTAAAGTGTGTTGTTGTTTTGATCTGCATGGTACTGTTGGTAATTTAATGAAATAAAAGGTTATTGGGGTCCATCTGCAGATTTAGACATACAGTAATATTTAGTGGCGTGACTTTACTGTGTAAAAGAGTGTGTGTGTGTGTGTGTGTGTGTGTGTGTACGTGTATGTGAACATACATATGAAGTGTGGCCCTAAGCCACATCTTCTGGACATCATCAATATCTTCAGAAACCAACACCCTTTATGACATAATAAAACTAAATCTATAGTGTTTACAGGTGAAAAATACAATGTTATTTTCACTGAGTTTCTCATTCTCTCTGTAAAATCACAATTCAATGTTAATATTACTGTACATTTTAACACACTTACTAAATTCTACATTTGTGATTTTCTTTCCGTGAGGGGCGTCCATATTAATATTAAAGGCAACAATGCTTCCTCCAAACTGTTTAATCTACCCTCCAATGTAGATAAAAAAAGTTAAATGTTGATTAAGTTTTTTTTTTTTTAAATCATATTTTAAAATGCATTGTGTGTTTTGAAAAGTTAAAAGTGTGGGTGTGTATATATGTGTGTGTGTATGTGTGTATATTCTCACCCTTTTAACTGTAAATGAATACAAATGGTCTATACGCACAGCCTGCTAATCGAGACTTAACTTAATGACACATAATATTATGCACAATTAAACAAAAGGCCTTAAAAGGGGAGAATAGCCTCGCCCCCTTTCATGCAAATTTAATTAAAAAACAAAACAATTCTATCATATTTTTATTTATACAAAATCGGTTTTTACACTGTTCGAAAACAGTTTAAAAGAAGAAAAAATATCTTCAACGTTGAAAAGAAGTGCCGCATCTTTCTGCCCAGCTACATTCCATAGTAATGATAATAATAATATTGAGAATAGTAATCGTAATAATATATTAATCATAAAAGTGGCACATGCATGATAAGAATAAATGCCAAAAATGAGTCAGGCCTTAAGGCTAAGAACAAAGCGTCCGCGGGCCTGTGCACTGTCCTGCCCCGTGCTTCCTGCGGTTATAGGTCCGTGTCCACGAGCCCATAGCACGCTCCTCCGTGCGTGAAGTAGACGTATGGTGCGCCGTGGCCCGGATATGCCATCGGGAAGGGGACGGGTAACAGGCAGCCGCTCAGCCTGCGCTCCTTGTATACAGTCTGCGGGTGTTTCTCGTCCAGGTCCGAGGACAGCTGCCTCTTGAGTTTGTTCCTTCGGTTTTGGAACCAGATCTTGACCTGAGTCTCTGAGAGCTGCAGGGAGCTCGCGAGGCATGCGCGCTCGGAGCTACTCAGATATCTCTTCAAGTCAAACGTGGCCTCCAGCTGAAAGATCTGCCGTTTGGAGAAGATAGTACGAGTCTTCTTCTTCACCGGAGTTTTGCGCTCCTGCGCGGCCCGCAGGCCTTTCTCTGTCCCGGGACACACCACGATGCTCTCCATGTTTGCTGTTTGGGCACAATGAATACGCACAATAATTAGCTTTATCAACGTGCCACACCAAAGGACCATTTCATCTCCTCACTCATCGCCCTGAGGTAATGTCTTCATACTCTGCATAAGTTAAAGATTAGAAACAAAAATCACCTGCGGGATCCTTAGTGCTGTCCCCTTTGTGGTCGTCCTCTTGAACCCCCTCCGCACTGCCATGCCTCCTCTCACGTTGTTTCAGGTTGAGAATGTGGTCGATGGTGAACGTGGTGCCGGGCATAGCATCGGTCATCCAGCTCCGTGTCGTCCGCGCGCACCCTGCACCATCGCTCCGTGTCTGGAGATGCGCAGCATGCGCACTGCGCGAACTCCAAGCTCAACTGTGTGCGCCTTTTGATTGGTGGGGTCCTGGGGGCAGAGAAGGGCGGGATATGGCCTGTGCTGGATTCTATAGCTATTGCCCTATTGCACTGGTGCTCTGCATGTTTATTACAGAGGTAGGTATCCAATTCGTATTTTGATTGGAAACGTATACCAGGAAGTTACATTAGCGGATATCTGGCTCGTCACCGAGGATGTTATCATCAATTAGCAACCGAAACATATTCATGTAAATACACCTGATGCTCAAAGTTAGAAGAATCTATGAGTAATGTAACGAAACTGAGGACACGATAATGGTCTAAGGACAAGATAATTATCTGTGGACAAGGAAGTTGATACAGGTCCTGGTGCAGAAGTTAGAACATTATATCTCCTTGCACATCCTTTAAGACAAAAGAATCGTGCAACATTAGACCTATTGGTCTTTATAGGTCTATAAAGTATATATTCAAAAGACCACAATCCATTTGTGCATAGATTTTATTTCCATGTCAGTGTACAAAAGTGAATTATTTTAAATTAAATGTATTTGACATACTAATTCCCGACATTTACACAGAAACACCTGTTCCCTGCGTGAATTCTGCAGTTCATGCAGCATACTATAAACATCTGAAAATAGAGCTCTATACTCGTGAAAAGGACCCATATAAAACAATATATAAATCTGGTGCTAACTCAGTCCCTTGTGGTCAAGTCAGACTAGAGCAGGCTGTGGTGATATGTAGGACACTGGGGAGGTGAAGGGGCTAAGCGGGTAGTGCAGAGAGCTGGGGAAGGCCAGTCTTGGTGCAGACAGTGGGGGGCTGTTGTCATGGTAGAGCACAGGGACTCTGACAATTCTCTGGGTGCTGAAAGGCACTGCTGCACTGGCCTCCATGTCAGCGGCCATCTGTCTCTTCCACTTGTTCCTTCGGTTTTGGAACCAGATCTTGACCTGTGTCTCTGTGAGCTGCAGAGTGGCAGCAAGGCCGGCCCGCTCCGCACTGCTCAGGTACCGCTTCAGGTCAAATGTGGACTCCAGCTGGAACACCTGGCTGCGGCTGAACACTGTTCGTGTCTTCTTCTTCCTCGACAACTTTACATCACCTGGAAGCATATTAGTTTGTTATTTCTAGTATTAATATTTATTTTAAGTAGTTCATTAAACATTTACCATGAAACAATGTCTGAAATGGTTTCAATCTGTTGCATTACATACCTTTCCTATTGGTAATGTGAATTAATCTTAATTTAGCTGAATGTCAGTTGATAATAATAATGAGTTGACACATTGTTTTTGTTGTGTTGGAACAATAGCATTTTTAGTTCATACCATGTTGAGAAAAATGCACCAAATTTTAACTCCTATAGCAGATACTAGTATTACCAGATACCTATAGTATCTAGTTAAATTTGAATTTCATTCTTAGTTATTTTGTTTTTAATACTAAGACCTACAGTTGTAGTCTTAATTTATCAAGAGAGAAACATAAATCTGTCACGACTCAAGAATGTCCCCGGTGATTCTTTGATGCAGTTTTACATGCGCATGTATGAGAGCTGCTGCTCTCCTCTTCCTCACCTCTCTCCTCTTCCTCTCCGTCCTCTCTGTCATCGCGGTCTCCTTTCTCTTCGGGACCATCGCTGTCCTCCGCTTGTCCTGTGCTCGGACTTTCTCTGTCGCCTTCCTCGCTGTCCTGGTACAACGAATCTACAACGAAATATTGAGAAATTATGGTGGTGGAATTTAGGGTGGCATCTGAAAGAAGGGAAACAAAATCCGACGTCGTGGAAGCTGAATCACGAACTATTCAAAGTTTTACGCACGGTCAGCAATAACAGAACGTGGAGAGACACGCAACTGTTTCGCAAGTTTTTATGCACGTAGCCCTAAAAACTATTGCAGTTTTCATGGGTGACAACCATGCCACTTTCTTTCGGCAAATCGATTCCCCTTGCACCCCAAACACGATCATACGTTAAACTTCGTCTTACTTGTTTTACGGCAGCGTTCTCTGGGTGAGATCTGGTGCAGCCCCGGTCCATCCAGACTTCTTGTATCCCTCTCCACTCTGTACTCTGCCCTGTTCTGCACATCATTGTGTCCTCGATCCAAACTCTGCTCGCGCTTTTCCTCCGAAGTACCCAACAGATTTTCTATAAAGAAAGATGTTGCTTTTGGTGAAGGACCAAGCTTCGATCTTGACATAATGTTCTCACGCATTGTGTGTCCCAGCGGGCACAGCTACTTTACAAACGTGTGCTTTAAAATAAAGAGTAATCCAACAGCGAGCGTATCTTGTTGTCAGCCCGGGGTGCGCTCTCCTCTGCGTTAAACATCCCGTCGCCCGCTGTGCCACAGCCCCACGCGTCTCTAATCCACACAGTAAGTCAAGGTGGGTCCAAGTGCGGACATGAGGCGATGAGATTTTCCGAGTAAACTAAACGTGCTTTCGTCCCGTCTCCCGAGCTGCTCTTGTAGTCTGCGAGCTGCCTGCGGGAGCGAGGATGCTGTATTTAGGTCAGACTCCGCACTGTTGTCCTGAGGGCTGCGGAGAGAGACGCTTCATGAGGAATCACACTACCGCCTATTGGCTGCATCTGTGTATGCACTCTCAGTGCGCTTCGTTAAACCCCTGAGTTTAGTTAGATCATCATTTATTTTAATGTATTTATTTCTTGATTTATGATTATAGTTTGAAAAATTAAAACCCAAACAGGGTAACGCGTGCATTTGTGTCATCAAGGCCAATATCTCCTCTGTAGACTTGAAGATAATATATTACTGTTGCTATGAGTATCACAGGTTAGTAATGATGCACTAAGTGTTTCCTACATAATAATGTTCATATCTTGAAGCTGTAGAGCCACCAAGCACAAATTAATGTTATCACATTTTCTTGTTAATGGCCCTAAGGGCATATGAGGTGACAAGTTGTTGATTAACAGTTGATTAATAGGAATAAAGATAAGCTGAAATGTTGGTCTGATTTGAAGCAAAGGACCCACTCTACATTAGAAATGTAATAGGATTGAGACAAAAATCTTTTTCTGCTTGAGCCTTGGAGTGGTCTGAACATTCCAGCAGCGGCTATTGAGCCTCATTATTGCTGTAAAAACCTCTTCAAAAGAGACAGAAATAAATAAATTAACATTGTATATTGTTATTATCTGAACCAATAAAAATACATTTGTACGTAATTAATATACTTTGTTTTTTGGATCTTGGTTGTTTACAAAAGCCTCTTTTTAATAATAAAGCCTGAAAAGCTTGATCTCATGTCAAAGATTACAACTCATTAGTGTTCGTTTCATTCAGTTGGCCTATTTATGAGAACTGCTGACAAGTAATGTGGGTTTTAAAACTTCAAAGAATCTCAGTTTGAGTTATGAGGGGTAAAAATATATGTATTTATTTCTTTAGTTAATTTGTTTTCTTTGTCAAAAAGAAAGATAGATTCAACAAAAACCTGTTTGAATGAAAGATGAATCCCTTGAGCTGAGTCTCTGCACACAAAAGGCAAAGGACATTATGCCTTTATTCCTCTGTTTGCTGTAATTCTATTTACAAAAACATCTTTAATTATATCAATGCACTGAACTCTAAAAAATATATTTAACACAAAGTTAAACTGGGATCCCACACAACCCAGAGGTCAACCACAATAAGATATGATTACTGACCAAATGTATGATGCTTTCATTCATTCAACTTGTTCAGTGGAAACAAGTATGTGACTCTTGCAAGTTGTATCTGTAGAGAGATGAATTGATCCATACATGTTTTGAACCAAACTGCAAAATCGATCCTCTTTACAAAAATGGTGTCACACCAGGACAGTTGAGGAAGGCAACTTTTGTTTTTTGCACTTTGTTAAGTAACATTTTGTTAACAAATCCTTGCTGTGTTTATCTTATTACCAATCCTAAATGATCATCCTTCAGGACTTGTAGTACTTTTTTATTACTGAAAAAGATGATCCAACAATGTGACAGATGCCAAAGATGTGAAAACCACTGAAGAAAACATTTTGAGATGAGCTAGTTACATGGATAATAGTGCATAGATATTTTTATTGTTTTTGTCCAGCTTTAAGTCAGCATCTTGTTGATCTAAAAGTATGTATCTCCTTTATCTGCATGGGTAACTTTGTCTAGTGACATATCCCAGGAGCTCAGGGAATCCTCCACATCACAACTGCCTCATCAGAGCGCTGCAAGTTGTGGTCAAGCGTCCCACAATGCAATAGTGTCTGCAGAGTCCCGGGCAGCCGACCAGAACGGCCACTGAGTCCAAGCTTTTGCCTTTCGCCCATGTCTCTGCCACCTCGCCTCTGTGCAGGACACTATACGACGAGGAGTCGGCACAGGGGATGTCCTAGTGGGACGATGTCAAACAGGCCGCTGTGGTATCAGCGTGAAAACACAGGTCACAGACCTATCAAGCTTCCTGCGTAATCTGCATTTTATAGCTGCTCTCTAACAACAAAAAGAACACTCCAGATTACAACAATTCAATGTGACACATACTTCTGCTGCTTAATCCCTATTAGCCCTCACCCCAGTGCACCCAATGCCCGGTCGTGTTGAAAAAAAAAACTGGAAAGTATTCTTACGTTTATTGAGCGCATTTGTAAAAAGCTTCACTAATTCTCTTATGTTGATGAAGTTGAATGAGTTAGTTTTTTTTTCTTGTTGAAAAGAGCTCAAAAGAACTCGGGTCCATTGTGGCACAAACTACTAATGCCTGTTTGTTTAACCCTTGCACGGCAAATTAACCCCTGTTGGAGTTGGTTTGTCAGATCAGCAGAAGGAGGCTGTATCTTCACATGAGTTCATGTCCTTAGTAACCCTCACTTCCATTCACCAAGTAACGCAATGCAAAGGATTTCATTACAAAGACAACGGCATACAACAGGAAGCAGGACGCCATTGACCCAAAGAAGGAGTGATCTACTTCAGAACATTCCTAATTCTCTCAGAAGATAATAAACCTCTGCTTTAAAAGTTGACCTGCAACTTTGGGAAATAAATGAAAAGGCCACTATCATATATTAAATTAATAAACAATAAAGGAGCACATAAAAACACAATATAATTTTCCCTTCAACTGAGAAATGTGAAATGTGTTATGATTGATTAATTCAGATTCAGTCAGTTTTAATTGTATTCTGTGGCTTTAAGTGTGAGATTATTGTGTAGCTATTGATTTGTTGGATACAAATTTAGTCTTGGTTTGGTGGCCAACAGCTATTTTAAAAGACAAGTTTGTTTTATTTATCAACATATTTAAACGGTATGAATGAAAGTTATGATATTGCAAGATGAAAATTATGTTAACAAAGCAGAATAATTTTAGGGTCATTGTTTTTTCCTGACCTTTTTACTCATGGTGTTCAAAAAGACAAACCTGGTTCACTAAGGGCACACAGAAAACAACACATGGAGCCACAGACTGGGGCATATCAGGAAATAGAGTAGAAAAACAAATATCCAATTATGTTCAATATTCAATAACTGATATGAGATAGCTACACTTATTTATATATATGTGTCCACACATATTCGTCCTCCATATAAAAGCACAGACAGTGGAGCAGGCTTCAGGTAGAGTACCCCTCACAGGATGTACAGCGACCCTCGGGGCAGGAGCAGCTCTTGATGGATTACAGGCCCCTGCTCAGACTGGGCCTATGCTTATGGGACATTAGATCAATGCTAAAACCTCCCACTAACACTAATGTCTTTAGTCTTTCCTGGAACTCGTGTCAAATATGAGCTCATTACATGTTTTTTACTCTGCAACTTTTCAAATGGTTGAACGCAGACAGAGAGAATCATCTGCAATCTCTGTAAGTGACCACAAACTAAAAATATCCAAACACTCAATATAGAACCCATATTGAGTTAACCCAATGTAGCCTGAAATGGGGAAGCTCATGGACCAATGGGAGGGCGGTGGAAGGATTCGCGTGAGAAAGTAGCAGAGGAGAGGAGAGGTTGTGGTGAGTGCACTGCCCGCAGGTCAAAGCACTTCTGTCATATTAGCTTATACACACTCTCCATAGCCTTCAATAAATCATGGGCCCAAAGCAGCAGGCATAAGGGCTCTGAGAGGGGCATTCACCTTTTAAAGTAGACTTCATTCATAATATCTCTTCTTACTATATAGGCTGTTATCAGGCCTATCTCTTGAAATTATTTTAGGGTTTGACAACAATGATAACTTTTCATTTTCCTTAATGAAAGTGATACAATTTAGTTTAAATCTGACTGTAAAGAAAAGTAAGTAAACTGTAAAAAAAAAGACAAGGACCAAATACAAATTTGAATTCAGAATTTGGTCTCTGGAAATGTTGATATTGCGTGTTGATGAGACTTACAACGACGACAGGTGTAATAGGCCTTTTATTCTAAAACCAAAGCAATAAGTGTAATAGCATATGTTGAGCGGCCTGTGCGTGTGTGACAGGTCCAGGGCCGAGTGCCGCACGCGCATCACGCATACGTCCTTGTCCCGCGGAACGCGCGCGCTGTCGGCCTGAAATAAAGCGCACATTGGGATTTTGGCGCAATCTGACAGTTTGTTTATGTGGCACAGACTAAACGCTCTTGACCCCATACCCTGACTACGTTGTGTTAGAAAAGGTTCTTTTATTCATACATTGAAAAAAACCAAAACAAAAACACAGATATCCCAATATTTTAAATATGCCCAATGTATTATTGTTTTCGTGTTTCTTTTTTCCCCTTCAACGTTTTAAAGAACCAATTTATTAGCCCCCCCAATAACTAAGCGGTAAAGTGCACAATCTGAGAACCCGAAGACTAATTTTCCCTGTGAGTTGCCAAGGAGATATTAAATGGCTTATTTTAGTAGCTTATTGAAGATAAAAAAAAGTTGCAATAACCCTTTATCAAATGCTCAATAGCTGTTCAGCGTTGATAACCCTTACGTAACACAGCAGATTTAGCACACATTGAACATGGTTCATGGCAAAAATAAATACGTAAATAAATGAAATTGGATAGAGAGCATATACGGTTAGATTATCCGTAATGGCATGCACTTTTATGAGTCAATTAAACAGATTAAGTTATACGATCAGAAAATACACAAAAGTCTCCACATTACAATCAGGGACGCCTTTACACATAGTTTGATATTAATTCTAAAGGCTCAATTGGAAAATACGATAACATACATTTGTGATAATCACAAAT